GCCTGACTCAGATGAAGGAGTGGGATTTGCCTTCAAAGGGCCTCTCTGGTGGCACCCTCCCAGGACTCTGTGCCCATGCTGACTTTCCCTCCTGCTAAGAGAAGATGAAGTTAGCATGGCACACTCTGGCTTCTTGGTGAGGATTAATGCTCGTTAAGTGCTTCAGGGCTGGAAGCTGACACCAGTGCAAGGTGTCACTTACCACCTGCCCGGAAACTCTTATCCTGGCGGGAGGCTGATTTATTCCATGGCCTTGAACCTTAACCTTCCGCTGCCTAAAAATTCCTCTGTAAGCTGCTTAAATGAGGGAGTGAACAGGACACTGCCTGCCGGTGGGCTGCCCACCCACGAGCTCTGCCATGGGCACTCCAGGGCTGGGGAAACAGGGCAGAAGGGGTCAGGGCTTGGAAAGCCCTGGAGCCCTCCGGCGGGTCCCGGGGTCCAGGGGTCTTGGACACGCTCCAGTCAACATGGGCGAGGCCCACACTGTCCTAAGAGCCTTACGTCATCCTCATAGCAGCTGACTTTAAGAATGCCAGACGTGAATATGTGAATATGTGAATATGAGCGCTTCTCATGTCTTAACTCATGTAGTTCTCCAAACAGTCCTGTGAGCAGGCAGTATTGTGGTCCCAACTTTACAGCTGGGACCCCGAGGCCCCGAAAGGTTAGGAAACTTGCCCAGGTTCACACAGCTAAGAAGTGGCACAGCAGCACGCAAATGCAAGCCATCTGGCCCCTGAGTCCATGCTCCTCGGCCGGCTTATTTACTGTCCTCCCAAGTCCCAGCAGCAGCCCTTCCTACAGGTAAGGAAGCTGGCCTTTGTGTACCGAGCCACTGCGCTTTGTGGTACTGCGTCACGGCTGTCTCCTCTCCTCCCCCCGCCGCCGCCCCCGAATGCGTTCTTCAAGTGGCAGACTTGCCCCTGGGACTTACTAGTGATCAGAACGCTGCCATCGAGTGCCCGCTCTGGGCCTGGCTCCAGGCGAGGCCTTTGTCCACCTCCAGTCTGTCACCACGGGCCCCGCCCCACCCCGCAGTCTGAGGCCACACAGCTACGAAGTGGCAACACGGAGGTTCTCCTCAGGCCTGCTTAGATCCAAAGTCCACACTCTGGGGCGCCTGGGTGGCTCAGTTGGTTAAGCGACTGCCTTCGGCTCAGGTCATGATCCTGGAGTCCCGGGATCGAGTCCCGCGTCGGGCTCCCTGCTCAGCGGGGAGTCTGCTTCTCCCTCTCCTGCTCCCCCCTCTTGTGCTCTCTCACTCTCTCTCTCTCTCAAATAAATAAATAAAATCTTTAAAAAAAAACAAAAAACAAAACTAAGTCCACACTCTGCCCACCACCTGGCTGGACGCTAACAGGGACATTTGAGCGACGTCTCAGAGGAAGGGGGACGAGGCAGGCATCTGCCATGGCCTGGGCCACAAGGCAAGGAGCAGGCTGTGGCCTTGCTCACAGCCCTGGGCTCTTGGGAACATTTTCTGACAGGGTCTGCTGAGCCAGAGGTTACGAAAAAGGAAGGCACTTTGACTCTGAATTGTTAAGGATACAAAAACTGGCTTGAGATACACCTCACTCGGCAGTCTTGCTCCAGAGTGAGAACGGATTCAAGAAGGGGTGCATGGGCAGCTGGGAAGGGAATTCAATTTGGTGAAATGCCGCACAGACCAGGCTCGGCACCTGATGTTCTCACTGCAAAGCCAGGCACCAGTATGAACTTGCGGCTCTCCCCCGTATGCAGCCCTCTGGGCCCTGCAGGCCCAGGCAGGGGGTTGCAAAAGCCCATGTCCAAACAGCTCAGTCTGGTGGGGCAGGGGGGGCACTGATGTCACCTGGCCTTCCCAGCAGGGCTCAGTTTACAGTGAAGTCACTGAGGATGGCAGCGGCCGGAGCCCAGCCATATGCCACCTAGCAGCCCACATGAGTCTGGAAAAAGAAGGGGGAGGGTGTCAAGCAGCTTAACTCAGGCCAGTTCACCTCCTTCTATCTTCGGGAATAGTCTGGTTTTGAAGCCCCTCATGGATCCACCCCAAACTAGAACCTCCTCCTCTGGGTGCATTCCCATAAGCCTCTATCTCATAAGACACATTTGCAGGTAACCACGGTCATAGCCACTACCTATTAAGCAGGTTCTGTGTGTCAGGCAGGCCCTAGGCTGGGGGTCTGATGTTTTAAATTAGTATCACTGTGCACAAAAACTCAGGCTCCCAGAGAAATGACTTGCCTAAGGTCACACAGCCAGGAAGTGGTACATAAGCATTTGTTGAGTGAAAGAGAAAACCGAGACCAGCTCTCCCTGCCCAGTTCCCCGGGTCCCTGCACATCCTCCCTTCCCAGGGGCCAGCCGTCCACTGCGACCTCTTTCCTGGCTGCAGAGGAAAGATGCTGTCTCACTGCTGGGACTGTTGCAGGCACTGGATGATGGGCACCCAAGGGAGTAGCTGCTCTGGGAGACAGACACCCGGGGACCTCAGGACTTCCCATGGGCTCACCTGGGCAACCGCTGACTGCATGTATTATACTGTAAATCGTAAATCACTCACACATGCTTGGCCCTCTGCGTGTTCATACGTACTCTCACAGCAGTCCAGTATGAAGGACAAATGAGCAGGCGGCCATAGAAGTTAAGTGACTCAGACTTGGCCACACAGATAGCTCAGGACAGAGTGAGGACTTGCACCCAGGTCTTCTGACTCAAGGTCCAAGTTTCTTTCCATCATTCTAGCTGCCCACTTTCTCCATCGGGTCTGGTGATTGCAAAGGGACTGAAGAGTTGAGATGCAAAGGACAGCCCCGAGGAATTTTACACAACGGGACTTGGCTTAGCCCAATCCTACTTACAGTGCTCCCCACGGTGCTCCCTCTGTCCCCGTGGATGGTCTGAGCAACAGCTATGCCCATGCTGTGCAGTTTCATAAATCAGCTCCCCCGACTTCCACCAATTCCCTGAATATTTGCAAACTGTTAGAAGGAGGGGGAAGCCTCTGTGCTTCCATCCCGGATTTACACTAGTAGCCAAAGCTCCAAAGACTGCGGTGAGACCCACACTGGCCCCCTTTCCCCAGGTCTGATGAGGGACGTTGGGGAACGTCTGTGTTCCAAGACAGAGAAGACAGTCAGGCTCCTGGACAGAAATCCACACATTTCATATTTGAGGTTAAAGAAACATCTGTCTTCCTCTCTTCTGATTCAGGAGTCCTCCCTAAGAATCTATCCTAAGACAACATTTTATACACAAAGATGACAACTGCTGAATTATTTTTAATAACAAAAAATTGGAAACAACTTCTGTCCAACATTAGCAGGATGGTTAAATGAATTATGGCACATCCATGCAATAACTGCAACCATTAAAAACATTCTTTATGACAAAATTTGAGTAAGTTAGGGAAACACTTATGATGTAACATTAAGCCAGAGAGAGAGAGAGAGAGAGAGGACATAAAATTATATATCGAGGGGAAAAAAGCAGAGAAGATTGGAAGGAAATGAACAAGATTCAACAGAGGCTGCATCTATGTGGCAGAATGAGTTATTTTTTGTCTGTTTTCCACTTTTTTCTTTTCTCCTATGTTCCTATGATAATCAGAAAAATGAAAGAAGCTACCCAAATTCTCTCTCTCATACACACACACACACACACACACACACACACACACACACACACACCCCCAAGGGGAGTGAGTTATCTGAACATCCAGAAAGGATGTGATGCTGACTGGTTAGAGGGAGGAAGGCAGGTCCCGTGTCCCTCTTCCCATAACAGAAGCACTTCCCACAAGACCATACATGTGGGGGCCATCCCTTTAAATCTGCCTTGAAGATTTTCCTGGGAATTTTCATCTGGCTTGGTTCTTTGGTTCTGGACCTCAGGAGCCCGTGTCTCTAAGGAGTGAGGAACATAGCGGGTGAATTTCTGTCTCCAGCCCTGGACAGCTCCTGTCTCTCAAGGAGGAAGCAAGCCAGGCCGCCTCCAGCATCTTTTCTGGAGAAAGGCCTGCAGAGAGGAGAGCTGGCGACTCGGGAGGGTGTTAAATTTGGAATGTGAGGCCGTGCCCACAATAAGGCACTCTGCAGACTCTCCAGCTGAGGGAGGCTTTCGAGTTAGGAGAACCCGTGGCTGGAAAGGGAAGAGACACGAGCAAGTGAGGCGGCAGGTCACACAGGAGCTGCAGACACGTGGCAGCACCCGTGGCGCTCCCTGATGAGCGACAGTTCTGTCCGTCCACCAGCTGAGCATGCAAGACGCATCCACAGGACCCTAAAGGCGGCGCACGCGCCCACCTCATCAGAAACGTGTTCCATTTCTCCACGAACTCACCCGAGATCGTCTAAGAGCTATGCTTGGGGGAGTGGATTTAAACCCAGTCCTCTGTGTCCTTCAGAACTCCAAACCTGCTCCTTGGAAACAGGTCTCTGTTCCTCACCATCCCCAGTCACATGTCCAAGTGTGTTTGCTCTCAAACACAGATGCTAAGTGCGTACAAAGAGTGTAAAGTGAGAGGGAAGCGTGTTGGCTTCCCCAACTCTAGAAGGCTCAGAAGCCTCAACAGCCCAGAGGAACTCAGACTCGGGAGCCCCCCGGGTATGGGGAAATAGGGACACAACTCAGTGGCGGGGGGCGGGGGGGAGGAGAAGAGCCAAAACTGAATTCCACTCAGCCACCAGAGGGGCAGCGGGTCTCCCCAACACCAACTCACCAAACATGTTGCCCTCATAGCCGTCTTTTGTGAGCGGCCGGAGCTCGTTTTTCCCCATTGCATAAAGCTTGTAGCTCCGCCAGGCGAACTGCATCATCTGCAAGAGAAAGGAGGAAACAGAACCTGAGCATGGCAATTCCCAACCACGTGCACTGGCCACCTGGCTTTGCCCTCTGCAACAGGATTGGAAACCGCATTTAAAAAATAGTCTTCCAAACTGAGGAAGACGACTTCCTCTCACATAGTTCTATTCATGGTGACGACCCCACGAGCCCAGAGTCTAACCACAGAGGCCTGAGAGAAGACACAGAAAGCACTAAATATATTCTAGCCATCCTTCAGTGCCAAAGTGAAAAGCCACCTCTTCCATGAAGCCTTCCTGCTTTGCTCTGGCCTGAAGTGGTCTTCTAAAAGGAAGGAAACACCTCACTGAATGATGCCTGGTATAATCTAATAAAGCAATCCCCTGGGCTAGGGATTATTGGCTCCGTTCTGCAGATGAGGAGACAAGGCAGAGACATGAGGTAATCTGTCCAAGGTTACCCAGAGTCCGTGAGAGTGCTGGGAACTGAACCCATGCCCTGTGGCTCCGAAACCTTAAGTCTGTCCCCAAAGCCTCTGTTCTGTCCCATAAAGTCACCACAAGTCTCTCCAAACTTTTCCGACACTCGGCTTGACCTACCCTGGCCATCCCAGCTTCCCTAGCACCCCATCTGCTCACTTATCAGTTTTTGTTTCCCACGCTGTGAACCATAAGCTCCTCAAAGCCAGAAACTATGCCTGCCTCAGTTTCCCCCACAGCGTCCAGCACAGGGCTTGGCACATGTAGGCAGCAATGAGTATTTATCAACTTTGCGCATCAGTCCGTGCACGAGTGCTTACTACATACACTAAGGCAACTATGTCAGTCCCTAGGGAACATCACGCAGGCACCTTGGTCCCCCAATTGCACTTAGCCTGGAGGCCAGAGGAATGCAAGCTGACACGTGAGCTCAGCCCTGCTCCCCCGGCCCCCGGGCTCACCTCTCTACGGTGCTGCCTTGTCGCCTCTGCCTGGCAGGCTTTTTGGGTGACAGCAGGGCAGGCAGCTGAGGCACAGCTGGGGGCCCGGTGCCCGGGGAGGCAGCTGGCGTCCGGCAAAGAACTCAGGCTTCGCGGCCAGAGCCGTCTGTGTTCTCATCTCACCTCTGCTTTGACCTTGGCAAGTGATTAAATGTCTCTGAGCCTCAGTGGACTTCTCTTTGAAATGGGAATAATAGGGGCTGTTTTGCTGAAAGGTTTAGCTCCCAGTCCTGAAAAGTTTACATGAAAGAAAGTAGCTGGAAACGCTCAGTTTCTGACCTGCCACAGTACGTGACTGAAAAGCACTAGTCCTCTGCCCTCCTCAGCCTCTAAAATCCCCGTCTAGTCCCCCAAGCCACAGCCACCACCCTTCCTTCCATCCATCCTTGGGTTCTCAAACTTTGTGGGCATCAGAATCACCTGGAGAGCTTACTGAATCAGACTGTCAGCCCCATCCTTGAATTTCTGATTCAGCAGGTCTGGGGTGGGCCCAAGAACATGCCTTTCTAACGAGTTCCCACATGATGCTGCTGGTCCACAGGCCACCCCTGAGAACCACGGATCTGGTACACGTGTTTATTTCTATTTCTCACCTCACCTCCAGACACTGTCTGGCACCCTTCTACTTTTCTCCTTCTATCTCCTGGCCTGTCTTCCATGCCTCTTCCCCCTCCTTCTGAACATCTCCACCCTCATCCTCCATGTTCTGCCGTTCCGGGCGCCAAGGCTTAGGAGCAGTCTCTTCCAGGCACATCTGGACCATAACTTCTGCTGTGCTTGCCACTGCGGCCCAAATACACAGGCCAGGAGGGTAGATGTGACAAATCTACGGCCCACGCCCCCCATAAAATGGCAGAGTGATCCAGCAGCACCTCTCCACTTCACAGATGTTCAAACTGAGGCTCAGACGTGGAAGTGATCAGGACAGCACAGCCAGCAGGGCTGGAACCAGGCTCTTTCAACTCCCAGGCCGGCTGACCCTACCCTCATGCTCGGCCTGATATGTGGCTTCCCATGTGACACACATGCAAATGTCATGGTAACACATGCCAAGCACTTGGCACGGGCTTTGAGTCCTGGTTCCTTTCCTCTGTTATTTTCTACTTATCCTGAATTGGCAGTAACAGAAACTAATTGCCGGGTATGAGTGCTTAAGGGAGACTGGCCTCCTCCCTCAGTCTCTCTTATCTGGAGACTCCCTCAGTTAAGTCAATATGAGTTGAGGTTGGCGGGGGAGAACAGCAGGAGGCTGGTAAAACATAAATGACAGCAGGAAAGCAGCAGGAGAGGTCTGGAGAGGGGAGGACGGCACCCTCCCCTCCAAACTCCTCCTGCTTAAGAGAAAGAGAGAGAGAAGTGGGTGTATCTGAGTAATTAGGAGAATCGTAGGTATCTACATGTTCCCAGAGGAGCTCCCACTGCAGGGACGTAGAGACGTTTGGAACGGGGCCCGTTACCTCAGTCATCCACATCAGTGGAGGGGAACGAAGGCACCAATAATCCCTCTGCCACCTGGGACTGGATTCAGAAGGCAGCCAGAGCGGCTCTCAAACCGCCCCCTCCCCTCCATGGACACACTCGTGTCTCCTATCTCGGGTCACAAGTGGCTCAACCTGGGCACTGGATGAGCAGGGGACAGGAAAAGACCCCCAGCCAGGCAGTCCTTACTTCTCTTCCTAAAGCACCCTAAGCAAGCACCAACCCGGTGTCCTGTCCTGTGTCAGCTACAGTTTGGGCTAGAGCCCCAGTGGGAATGCTACTCTGGCCCCACCTTCTACCTCCTTGCCCACTGCTTGTCTTCCTTCAGATCCCAGTTGAAACAGCACTTTTGCAGGAGGCCACCTCCCCAGCCATGCCTAAGTCAGGCCCCTACTCCTTCCCCACATTCCTGATGCCACGGCCCACAGCAGCCTGCAGTCAAACTTTTATACAGTTGCCCCCTCCGCCCAGCCCCTAGTCATTGCGGCACGTCTTGCAACTCATCCAGGGACTGGCACATACTAGGTGCTCACTAAATATTTGCTGAATGGCTGTAAGAACAAGAAAATGGCTGTAGAGTTTAACACATGGTTGGCAGACTGGTAGACCACACACGTCCTCGGTAGGATAGGTAATGGGTCAGAGGGGAGGGGCTTCTGGGCAACAGGGGCACTAAGAAGAGGGCAAGTGTGTGTCTCAAGTGGGTACCCAAGCGTCCTGATGGACACAGAGGACTGGGAGGGGCACAGGAAGAGACTGAACCACAGAAAAGTTATCTCACTCTGGAGCTGGCGATACGTGCCTTAGGTGACCCCTGGACTGGGCTTTAGAGGTGGACAGACCCTCACTTCATCCAGACTACCTCCTGCCCCATGCAAGTTCCTTAATAAAAGATTAAGTAATGCTTCTTTGAACACCCCCAGTGATGGGGTGCTCACCACCTTACCCGGCAGCCCATTTCACTACAGTTTCACAAAATTCTTCCTTAATCGGTCCAAATCTGTTTTCCCCTATGGGCCCTGGAGAAGACAGTTCACACTGCCTTCATACCAGAGACCTTCAGACAGGAGGAGCCAACTCTCCAGTCACCTTAGGCTGTCTATTGGCCCACTGAGCAGCCCAGCTCCTTCAACAGTTCCCCTCCTGGCAGATCTCTGAATTCCCTGAAACTGCAGACCCACACATCATCATGTTTTTCCGGGGTGCCCCAAGACTTTGTTGCCCGTTTGTTATGGTTGGCTATACTTTTGTTAATGAGCAGAAACCAAAGTGCAGACTCTCCCTGGTTACATCTGGACCAGATCCTGTGGGCGTAGACTTGCCGTTTGTCCCTAGTAATTTTATCCTGTAGGACTCTGCCTACCATTCTGTGCTGTCAGGATCTTTTTGGAACCAGATCTTATAATTCAATGTGCGTGTGTCTGCCTGCTTTGGGTAATCTGCAAACTTGATAGGACAGCCATCTGTGTCTCCTCCCCCCGCCCCCCGGAGTTTTGGACAGAAACACTAAACAGGGGGCCTGAGAACAGCGTTGGGGAAATCGCAGCAGAGGCCTTCCTCCTGGCTGTTGCATTTTTGAGTGTCACCTGTCAGCAAGTAAGGAACCCACCAATCAATACAACCCCCGTGTCTCCATTTTTGTACACGAAGATACTGTGAAGGTCAGGGCTGAAACACAAAAATACTCCCCTACCATAGCTAGTACAGAAAAAAATAAATTGCCGTTTTTTTTTGTTTTTTTTTTTAAGGAAAATCACGGGTTAGACGGGCACGATTTGTTCTTAGAGAACGCATTTTGGCTCCTACGAATCATCATTTTTTGTTCTAAATGCTTGCAAATCACTAACTTAAAAACCTATTAGTGCCTCCTAGGAGGCTATAATCAAAAAGATGGACAATAACTAGTGTTGGCCACAATGGGGAGAAATTGGAACCCTCATACATTGCTGGTGGGAATGAAAATGGTACAGTCGCTCTGGAAAACAGTTTGGCAAAAAAAGTTAAATAAAAAATTCCCATGGGACCCAGCAACTCCACTCCTATGGACCTGTGCAGAAAAGAACTAACAGCTGGCCAGAGACTTCCATCCCTAGAAAGGGCCTGCCTGCAAGGTTGGTCCTTGGCTGGTGTCTGGGAAGGAGGATTTCACGAGTGTCCCCACCATCCTCTAACTGGTGAGGGTGGTTTCCTGTACAATCTATGATGCTGAGTACCTACCTGCTCTCCTTCTGGGAGTGTAGGATTTTGGTATGTGCTAAAATGGTACCCATGTGACCAGCCCCCAATAAAAACCTCCGGCACTGAATCTATAATGAGTTTCCCTGATAAATAACACCTCACACGTGTTGTCACGATTCAGTGCTGGAAGAATTCGGCGTACCCTGTGTGATCCCGCTGGGAGAGGACTCTTGGAAGCTGGCCTCATTTCCTCTGGGCTTCCCTGCATGCCCTTTTTCCCTCAGATTTTTCTCCGTGTCCTTTCCCTACAGTATAAATCACAGCTGGGAGTAGGACTAAGTGCTGAATCTTGTGAGCCCTCCTGGTGAATCACTGAAC